CACAGGGAGGCTTAGGTACGGGGTGGGGTTCTGGAGGGCAGTTAGGAGCAGGGGTCCCAGGAGGGGGCAGTCAGGGGACAGGGAGCAGAGGGGTTTAGATGGGTTGGGAGTTCTGGGGGGGAGCTGTCAGGGGGTGGGAGTGGTTGGATGGGGCGTGGGAGTTCCTGGTGTCTGTCTGGGAGTGGGGCTGTGGATAAGGGTTGGGGCAGTCAGGGGACGGGTAGGGTCCTAGGGGGCCAGTTAGGATGGGGGGAAGGCCTCAGGAGGGGGCAGTCAGGGGACAAAGAGCAGGGAGGCTTAGGTAGGGGGTGGATTCCTGGGGGGCAGTTAGGTAGGGTTACCATACGTCTGGTTTTTCCAGGACATGTCCGGCTTTTTGATCCTCAAATCCCCGTCCGGGGGGAATTGCCAAAAAGCCGAACATGTCCGGGAAAATAGCTTTGCCGGCATCCCTGACCCAGTCCCCTGCTTACCTTGCAGCTCCCGCAGGCTGCGAGCTGCAGGCGGATTCCCCCGCGGCAGCCGCTGCTGCTCACCCCAGACACCTCAGCTCTGTGTAGCTGAAGAGCCGAGCTGCCTTAATGCTACCGGCTTCACAGTTTGCTGGGCAGCCCCCAGACCTCCAGACCCTGCGCCCCCAGCCAGGCACTTCCCCGCCTGGGCTCCGGTTGCACTGGGGAAGCACCCGGCCGGGGGCAGGGTCTGGAGGTCTGGGGGCTGCCCGGCAAACCGTGAAGCCGGTAGCCCTCAGGCAGCTGTTTCGCGGCTGGGAGGGAGGAGGGGGAATACGGGGTGCTCAGGGGAGGGGGCGGAGTTGGGGCGGGGACTTTGGGGAAGAGGCGGAGTTGGGGCGGGGCCAGGGCTAGGGCCCCGTGGAGTGTCCTCTTTTTTTTAATGAGGAAATATGGTAACCCTAGTACACTGCCTTGTTAATTAGATCAGCTTGCTGAGACCGCAGCTGCTGTCAGCAAGCTCCCTCCCTTCCTCCGTCCTGAGCCCTGTCATGTTTCCCCCCTGCTCTATGGAAGATGGGGTAAGCGGGGTGTTTGGGGGGGACACCCTGACATTAGCCCCCCTCTTCTTCCCCTCCCCCTGCACAGTAAGCAGGAGTCTCGGGGAGCAGCTCCAAAGCAGAGGGCAGGAGCAGCACATGGCAGTGGGGGGAGGGACAGCTGCAATTGGTAGCCTGCTGGGCAGCTGCTGCACAGGGAACTTACGGGAGAGGGGAGCTGATGCGGGGGCTGCCGGTCCAAGCTGGTTCCAAGCCCCCACCAGCTAGCTGCAACGGACTGCTCTTCCTGCAAGCAGTGGACATTAGAAGGGAGCATTGCACAACTTTAAACGAGCATGTTCCCTAATTGATAAGCAACGTAACAATGAAACAATGTTAACCGGGACGACTTCAAGTGAGGAGTTACTGTATATGAAACTATCAAATCACAGAGCTGGAAGGGAATTACACCATCCGTATAACTGCAGTCCTGCCTGGAATACAGGTTTCTATCTGGGTACCTCAATAACAGAAAAATATTGACAAATTGAAAGGCGTTCAGAGAAAAGGAACACAAATTATTAGGGGGTTGGACTGACTTTAAGTACAAGCCAAATGCTGTTCAGTTTACCTATGCAATGGCTAATGGAGGCAAGGGGAGAAGAGGAAATGTCATAATAATCAACTTGTCCCTTATGCACATCAGAGAGGGAGAGAAATGGTACCTGGGGGGATAGTGGGATAAAATTAAAAAATAGAAAATTTAGCATGATTAACAGGAAAAACTTCATGACACTAATATTAATTAAATTCTTCCTAGGCAAATGGTAGAAGCTCCAGTGCTTGGGTTGTTTAGAACTAAACTGACTAAAACAAGAGAAAAACCATCCTGCACTAGCATGGCGATAGACTAGATGCTCTAATAGGCCCTTCTCCTCTCTAATTTCTGTTGATCCCATTCTAAACACAGAGAGGTCACAACTGAAGCCACAGAGACAAATTCTCTTTCAATTTTTGATGTGTTTGCAAGAGGGTAGAATTCCAGTTGTCACATCTGAACTCACCCTGGCATTTTGGTTCCAGGTCAGAAACAAAACTGGAAGGAGCCTTAAATTCTCTGCCTCTGTTTCCCTGACTGTAAAATGAGGATGAGCTCAGTTATTTATCTTCCTTACATGGTCACTGTGAGGGTTAACTAGTTAATGCTTGTAAAAATTTGTGAAGCTAGAAAGTGCTATATAACAAATGCTAAGGGCTGAATCCCAGAGCCTGGGAGGAAGAAAAGACCTATTTTCTGTTTTGGATCCCAAACCAGTCACTCTCATGATTAAAGCCCAAATCTTTAATCTTGACAACTAAAAAATGATCCTACCATAAATTTGGGACCAACATTTTGTGAAATTTTGGGGTTGTCAAGACTGAACCTGAACTCTAGCCCCGCTTTGATCTGCAGCTTGAACCCCTGCGCTAGTCTCATCTGGATCCAGATTTTAAACCTGAATTGAATGGAAATCTACTCTTCACTGCTAGTACTTCTCTGTAATGTGTCAGACCAAAGCCCTGGATCCAACAATACTTTGAATGTTGAGGAAGTTTGGATCCAGATCTTAATGTTGTGGCTCTGCTTCTCAGAAAAAGAGATGCTAGCTGCCTCTTTCTTAGTTTAAAACAGAAGTAGCGGTTGGGAGGGAAAGGATCAGGATGTACCACTTCTCCCCTATTACTTTTCATACTGACTCTTCCGTTCAAAAAGCAATGGCTATTTGGCCTGTGCCAACATCACAGATGAGTGCAGTATAGCTACCCATCTTAGTCACTTCTTCCTTCTCAGAAATGCAGATTTATCAAAGTGTCCCTGTTAAGTTTATTCTACACAATACCCCCAAATGGACATTTGAAATATATCCCTTATAACATTGTTTTCCACAAAGTAAAAAGGCTATCTAATCATAAATAAAATATATAAACCTATATATAAATATAATATATATAAACCTACCTGAAAGATTTTTCTGGCAATCCCCAAAATCAAAACACCCTTCAAGACTTCAATATAGAATGCAGTATCTCACTTTAACAAAGATGATATGAGAGCTATAGAAGAGATATGAGAAGTACTTGTCAAACAGCATTGCAGAATTTAGCTGAATGACTCATGGTCAGACCACACTTTGAATTGCAGACGGGGAGAATGTTTATGTATATGTTTCTGACACACATGAAATGTATATGTTCTGATATAATAAAAGAATCACTTCTGCTATTTTATTGACACCACACTTGCTATAAATATTTTAAAGTGGCCAGTGAATGTGATGCACTTAGCATCTTCCTCCCAGAAATAAAGTGCACTGCTCTTAGAGTGCCGCCTGCTGGATAATTTACATGATATAATGACAAAGGAAGATGCTCATTCTGTTTCACATAGAGCATGCTGGAATGATGGCCTTCTAAAAATAGCTGGAGTGGGGATGCATACAGCTTATATATGTGGGTAAATTAAAATCTACTGTGATGGAGGGAAAAAGATGAAATGGTCATGTAACATGATCCCACTCTCTGTATCTTAGCCTTACTGGGTTGTTTTTGTTTTTGTTTTTTTTAATTGGTTAAAAAAATACTTTATACTTTAATTAGTAATAGAAATGCTAATTATTTTGTTTTGCTGTCGAGTTGAATTAATGTTAGAATAAAAAGTTCTTGAGCAGTATTTTCTAACTTTTCTGCCATGACTAAATGTTAGAGGAAATGTAAGTGATCTTTATGCTTAATATAGAAAATTAAGGAAAAAAGACTAGACTTTCTAAATCTAAAAACAAATATTTGGGATAACAGCTCTGCCAATTTCTAGAACTGCTATAATGAAAACCAATGTATAAAATCTACTGCTAATATGCAAACTCACTTACTTCCATTGTTCCTCTGTTGATAATCTTAACGCATCTCCCTGAAACAGACATAAAACTAATATTACAGCTTGACAATGTACAATAATCAGGAGGGTTTCCTTCTCAAAGTCCCCTTCCCCCGTACCAAAGGTAAGACATATTTAAATCAGATACATATGCCACAGTTTCCCTCAAGTAAACTATGGACTCCATCTCATTCCCCCAGAAATAGGTGGGGAATTCTGCCATTAATTTCAGTTTGAGCAAGATCAAGGTCCCAAAACTGAATGAAAGACCAAAAGCAAAATTTATATCAGTTGGAATTTTTGTTATGCTTGTTCTAGGATGGTACATTAAGATGATGAATTTATCATAAAATATAATGTCCTTTAACTTTCTCCTTAAATCCCTGGGGATAAAATATAGCAATTGCATAAAAAAATTATCAGGTTGAGTTTAAAGCTAAGTATACTCTAGAGTGACTTACAAATATAAAGCTTAATTCTGCAGTTGCTGCTGGTATGATTTGTCCTGTTGAAGTCCCATAGATCTATAGCATCGTTCACATAAGTAAGGGCTGATGGATCAAGCCCAGAGAGTGAAGTGTCTAGATACTGCATATTAGAACTGGTTGAAATATTTAATACAAAACTTTTTAAAACTTAAAGTAGGTTAGTTCTGAAGATGAAATGTGTACATGAAAATTTGTTTTTCTTCAAAATATTCTGATTTTTAAAATTTGAAACAAACGAAAACCTGCAATTTCTTTTTAAAATCAAAACTGAAAATTCATTCCCCTTTTTCAGTGGCAAGTGAAAAAAGGGGGATATAGAGAAGGGAAAGACAGAGGAAGGGACAATACTAAAAATGGATTTCTATTTTTCTGGTTTTCCATTAAAACCCACAAGTTTAAAAAAAATTTCAAAAAAAAAATCCAGAAAATTATTTTTTGAACATTTTCACAAAACAGTCTTGCCATTTCTCAACCAGTTATTTTGTATCCTGTTAATACATTTGGACCAAATCCTGAGACAGGGCTGGCTCCAGCATTTCTGCCGCCCCAAGCAAAAAACAAAAAACAAAAACAAGCCGCGATTGCAGTGCGACCGGCGGCGGCAATTGGGGGGGGGGGGGAAAGCCACGATCAGCGGTGGCAGTTCAGCGGCAGGTCCTTCGCTCCTAGAGGGAGTGAGGGACCTGCCGCCTCCGAATTGCCGCACATGCCGCCCCTCTCCCTTGGCCGCCCCAAGCACCTGCTTGTTAAGCTGGTGCCTGGAGCGGCCCTGTCCTGAGAATATATTGACTACAGTGGGACTACTCATGTGCATACGTTTTACATTCATTTTATTTATTTAGAGGTATTTCTAGGGTGCTGTTTGCTATAGGAATCCTAACAGTAGGACTTAAAGCAAAATGCCAGCACAAGGGAGAATCTAGGGCTAGATTGTAACTTTTTAATCTACCCTGAATAAAGGGGTGGCATATAGCTGCACCAACCCACAGGAGGAATTGCAACTCTCAATCCCCTTGGGCATCTAACTGCCATGGAACCAAAGCTTTTCCCACTCTCTGCCCCATCCCATCTCCTGACCACTACTTGTTTGCAGGAGGGAGTATCAAGCAAGTAGCTCCTGCTCTCTTCTCTGTGGCTGGAGCTACATTGGAGTAAGGGGAGGCGTGAGAGGGGAAGTACTTAGGGTGACCAGATCGCAAGAGTAAAATATCGGGACACGTGGGGGAGGGGAAGCCACAGTCCCCACCTGAACCATGTGGGAGAGAGATGCATAGCCTTAGGAAGCAGTAAGGGGAGCACATTGCCTGGATCCAGCCTCCGCTACAAGCCACGGGGACACACAGCCCAGCTCCAGCCCCAGCTGCAAGCTGCAGGTCGGGGGCACACGGCCCTGGCTCCGTCTCCCGACGCAAGCCAGGGTTGCGTGGCCCTGGCTCTGGCCCCCACCGCAAGGGGGGGTTCTCAGGGCTGGGGCAGTGAGTTGGGGCATGAGAGAGGGGTTTGGGGCTCTGACTCCCGGAGGGAATTTAGGTGCAGGAGGATGCTCAGGACTGGGGCAGGGACTTGGTGTGTGGAAGGGGGTGCAGGCTCCGGATGGCGCTTACCTCAGGCGGCTCCCTGGAAGTGGAAATATTTCCCTCCTAGGGTCCTAGGCAGAGATGTGGTTATGCGGCCCTATGTGCTACCTCGCCTGCAGGTGCCGCCTCCACAGCTCCCACTAGCCGTGGTTCCCGGCCAATGGGAGCTGTAGAGCCGGCGCTCATGGTGGGGGCAGCATGCAGAGCCCCCCCCACCCTGGCTGCCCCTGCGCCTAGGACCCAGAAGGCTATGTTGCCACTTCCAGGGAGCTGTGTGGAGCCGGCTGGGTAGGGAGCCTGACAGCCCTGTGCCAACCCGAGGCCCGGCAACCCTACAATATTGGGACAAATGGCATCCCGATCGTACATCAGTCAGGACGTGGGACGGAATTCAATACTGGGACAGTCCCAATTTTATCGGGACGTCTGGTCACCCTAGAAAAGTACTCCTCTGGACAGCTCAGACATTGAGTCTGAGTCTAATCAGCAAGGGTTACAAAACACAAACTTTATTTTACTCTGTGTATGTGCACGCACTAATGTGACTTTATAAAACTATTTAATTCTGAAACTGCACATTTGCAAAGTTCTCTCTAGAAATCAGTTGAAAACAAGTTAAAAAGGCCGCAGTTATGCTGAAGAGCTGGAAATGGCACTACACTCTTTATTCACTTCTAGAATGTCATTACCTAGCTACTAATGTATCCAATCATCTTGCAGAATTGATAACTTTTAGCCCATGTTAAAACATTTCCTGTAATACTAGTCAGTCTTGGTTTTGCTGTCACTCTACCAAAAGGTTTGTAATGTAATCAGGAGTCACCAGGTCATTTTCCTCAAGATCACAAATACTTACACCTTCTGTCTGTTGGACTGATCTATTTAGAAAGAAAAGTGCTTGAACTAAAAATAAATTAAATTTAAACTTGAAAAACAGGAACCCATTTGATGGTATTGAACCATGCTCTCTGTATGTATGTGTGTACCAACAGGTGGAAGGGGAAGAAATTTGGGAGTAATATTGGGACACTTTTAACCCAAACCAGTAGGTCAAGATTTAAAAAAAAAAAAAAAAAACTTGTCTGTTTTTAGATGGCTGTAGACTTTATATCAATATAGAAAGCATCCTCCGCATAACATTGTATAAAGAGCTCTGCCACTGGAATTACAGTCAAATTCACCTCTTTTCATGCATATTTCCTTAGTAATGAAGAATGATGAGAGAAAAACAAAAAAATCTGCTCTGTATGTAAAATCCTTACTATATAGATTACCTTTCAAAAGTTGCTGTTTACCCTATCTGTCAAAGCTGCTGATGGCAAAGACTAGAAGTTATTTACGCAGCAAAAAACTCAAGTTCAGAGTGTCTGTCAGGTGAAAAGTGCTCCCTAATGAAGTGTAAAGCAATATCCTCCATTTTAAAAATGTACAGCACTGGAAAACCTATTTCCAATCTGTAATTTTACATGACTATGAAACACAACCACAGGTAAATCCCATATTTGTTTTTTGACCAGCTAATTACACTGTGGCAAAATATACAGACTGGAAAGATGGGTGTAGACGAGTAGATACTGTGGTGTACAATTCTTATTTCCTGGACTCATCTTTTGTTTGGGTTACTAACAGGTTTGTTTTTTCTCTTTATCACACTCTTCAATAAAGACATGGCTATCTGCACCTTCTGCGATAATTATCATATTGGTCTAAGTTTACACTATACAATTTTGTTCCCATTTTTCAGCACCTGTTTATTGTGTATCTTGTCTTAAATTAGACTGTAAGTCCCTTGGGGCAGGCACCATGTATTCTTATGCACTTGTATAGCACCCAGCACAAACGATCCTTGCTCCTGATTGGGGCCTTTGGATGCTACCAAGATGCAAATTAATAATACTTATAATTAATATAAGTTGTCGTGTATGGAGACCTAATACCACTGTTCTAAGGGCCTCTTCAATTTTTTACAGTGTGTGTACATATGTATGTACATACTCTTTGGGGGAGAGGCAGAAAGTCCTGCTGCATGGGCTGGCAGTCCACAAACCCAAAAGCTAAGTGTTCCCTCAAGCAGGGGTAAGGAAAATTCCTATATTTGGGATTTGTTCTGAGCACATTTTAAGTCTTTCCCCTGGGTGTATGTGCTTAAATGAGACATTCTCGCTTCTCGGCCTTCTGGCTAAGAGAGGTGAAAACATTATCTAGTATCCCATTAATTAATTACTGTTTTGTAAAGAATTTTGAGATGTTGGGATGGAAGATACTAGTGGAAAGAACAGGCTTGATTTGGCAAACCTTTCTACATGTTAGTAAAGGCTTTCAGGATCAAACCCGTAACCTGCAGTTGTTAAAATCTCCCTCACTCAACTCATCAGTTTGTTATACCCCTGGAGCATAAGGAATTATTCATGGGGTTTCTTCCTGCGCTGTAGTTTTTGCTTCTTGCTTCTGATTTTTGTTTAGACAAGGGTTGTGATTTGGGGCCCAGATGTAAGTAGAAGCTATAGCGTAAGGCCTGCAATATGATTTGGGCGAGTAAGTGCTACTCAGATAAGAACGGGTTGCAGATCTGGCTTACATTCAGGCAGGGGAAACTGACAAATAATCGCTACAGCAAAAAGACACTGAGTCAAATCTCTCTGGCAGAGTTCCGTTTCTCTTTACACAACTTGGAAATTTTTAATAAAGTGGGATTAATAACAGCGAAATTACAGTGAATTGATACAAACCCCTAAGAACCAATATCTTCCTCCATATTCGTACAACTTCCCCATGTTGACCTATGAAGGAAGGCTGAAAGAACTGGGTTTGTTTAGTTTGGAGAAGAGAAGACTGAGAGGGGACATGATAGCAGTTTAGGGAGAGAACTTGTTCACCTTAGCCTCTAAGGATAGAACCAGAAACAATGGGTTTAAACTGCAGCAAGGGAGGAGTACAATATGGTA